TTGTATTATTTTATTATAAAATGATTGTTTTTATAGGGAATGGCGGCCGACGTCTAGATAACTGTAATTGTGATGGATATACCAATTCTATATATACTCTCTCCATAAGCAGTGCCACACAAAACGGTCAAAAGCCCTGGTATTTGGAAGAAGTGAGATATTCGTATTTAATGAAGAGTGTATTCACTAATTATTTGTTGCATAAAGTGTTCATCAACTTTGGCCACGACTTACAGCAGCGGAACTCCCGGTCGGGACGACAACATATTGAGTGTGGATCAGGACATGACTTACTTTAAAAGTTTAGAAAGTGGCGGAACTCCTGACACCTCCAGATTATGCACGCGTTCACACACTGGCACTTCTGCTTCGGCTCCGATCGGTATGTATATTGTAATGAATGATATAAAATAATAAAATTTATTTGGCATTAATAGCGGCGGCGATCGTCGCACTGGCATTAGAAGCCAATCCGGCGCTCACGTGGAGAGATCTGCAGCATTTGGTTCTGTTGTCGTCCCGTTACGAGCCGTTACGTCACGAAAGCGGTTGGATTACAAACGGTGTCGGAAGAAGAGTGAGTCATAAATTTGGTTACGGACTCATAGACGCCACTCAAATGGTTCGGTTCGCCGAGAACTGGACTCCAACTCCTACTCAACGAGTTTGCGAAACACATACCGAAGACACTGAACGCGAAATACCTGTCCATCCGAAGCGCCATTTGGAGGTGTCGTTGACGACCGAAGCGTGTCGTGACTCATCCAATGAAGTGAATTATTTAGAGCACATTCAGGCGAAGATTACACTTAAATACAAACCGCGCGGAAGCCTTAAAATATCACTCATCTCTCCTTCGGGTACTATTACTCACTTACTCTTTGCCCGACCGCGAGATACAGACGAATCCTCGTTCACTAACTGGCCGTTCCTTTCGGTCCACTTTTGGGGCGAATCGGCGGTCGGGAAGTGGAAACTAATCATCCAAAACGACAGCCGATCGCCGGCCCGTTCGGCCGGCAAATTGATTTCATGGTCGCTGACATTCTATGGCACTTACGACAAACCCGCCAGTTATCACTTCACACCCAATCAGACCATTCATTACATCCCTCGAAGCGCCACAATTGATAAAATGAGCGAATGCTCTAAACGTGGATTATTTCAGGCCTTCGACTCAACCGAATGTCACACATCGTGTCCATCTGGACAGTGGCCTAACCATCAGTTGGCTGTCTGTGAAAAATGTAGTGCTGACTGTCAGACATGTTTTGGTCCGACCGGTGATAATTGCCTCTCATGTCCTCCAGACAAACTATTTTATGGATACCATTGTATCAAACAATGTCCGGATCAGTACTACAATGACTCTAAGCTCAACGAATGTCTTCCTTGTTCTTCAAACTGTGAAAGATGTGATTCTTCGCCAAATGAGTGCATTTCATGCAAAGACACTCTTATTCTTAACGATAGACACAAATGCGTTCCAAAATGTGATTCTTCTGTTGACACTAATTGTTTAAAATGTCACAATTCTTGTGCCTCTTGTTATGGAAGTGCTAATAATCAATGCCTTTCTTGTTCTTCCGGTCGAAAGCTGTTTAACAATACATGTATTGACGGCGAGTGTCCGCAATCGCACTATCAATCAGATAGTGATGGTCTTCAATGTCGACGGTTTGTATTATAAACCATTTGCTGTATTTCCAAACTAACAATTATTTAATAGTTATTACATCTGAAATCAATATTAGATAATATTATTGAAGTTATGTTAGGAATAGTCCCTTACTTTACGCACAATTTCCTAAGAAGTAATCTCTTGAGACCCAAAGTACACAATAATGAGAATTATTAAATGGATTGCTTTATTTGATTGCTCTTTCAATGCATGAACTGTTTCTTCAAGTAAGTATTGTTTGCAAACAATTGAATCGTTTTTTATTTAACATTTAGCTGTCATAACACTTGTACGTCATGTATGGGACCATCGCATAAGGATTGCAAAACTTGTTACCACAACTCGACGCTCACCTCCGATGGTCTTTGTCTCAGTTGTTTAAGCGATCAGTATTTGGATGCGAAGACATCAAAGTGTGAATCGTGTCATATTAGCTGTTCCTCGTGTAGCGGCGCCACAGAAAACGACTGCCTTTCGTGCAGAACTCCTTACGCTTTGGACAACTCTCGGTGTGTTTCCTGTTGTCCGCAATACGCAAACGATATCAAAGGAGTGCCACAAGAGCTGAATGACTGCTGCCATTGTCTGTCTTCAGGCAATATATGTCTATCAAACGTTGCTATCGATAAAACTCGGAGCGTTTCCGTGGACTCGGATTTATCGGCGAATAAATTGTTTAGAAATGAGAACAAATTGGACCGACTCTTCCAAAATCCCGTCTCAATTATATTTACGATTTGTATTTCAGCCGTCATTTTATTCGCGATTGTATTTTCAATCCTTCAGTTCAGTAATGGTTCCCAAAGAGTCCATAAACTGAATGAATACCAGAAGGTGTCGACCAGTTCTGCGATTAGATTTGAAAAAATGTCTGAATTAATGGCCGACGACTACGAAGAAGAAGATAGTCTATTTGAGAAGACCTAGTCTTTTGTCAAACTCTTAATAATTATTTATGTTTTAAAATAATTTTTTATATTTAAATAAACTAATACATAAAAAATAGTAAATAAAAAGTTTTATTTAATTTGTCTATTGATTTCATAGTACTATTTGGTTATATAAAGTGAACTATCAGTTAAAGAGCAAGCGATGGGTTCATTCACTGTTGGTTTCAATTTATTGATCGCTTTTGAAATGCTTGCTGTGAGACGAGGAAACCGTGTATTGTATTGAGTTATACCAGAATCCGAGTAACACTATGCCTGACATTAGAGGCTTTGATTCAATGCAATGAATAAACTAAACCAAAACTGTGTTCAATATGGATGAGAATAACAGCACTTCCACCGATAAATTCAAACGGTTGTCCTTAACATCGAGCAGAGCTCAAGAATCGGACATAATGTCCGTCCAATTGAGCCAACAATTCACCAAAGGTTCGTTTCTTTCCATTCAATTCACTCTTGTTTATAGCAATGCATCCGATATTTACTTCTTTACATTTACTCCTCGATCACAATTAAAACATTATTTGAATCCCTTTTTATTATTCTTTGCCAATAAAATGATTTTATAATGCAATGAATGTTATAAAATGCATTATATGTTTGCTGTAACCTCACTATCATTTGCCTATTTATTGTAAGAATTGATGTTTTCGTAAAAATAATGATTGAAAACTAATTTACTAAATGGCATATAAATAATATAAGTTTTTATCGTTTGGTATTCAGTGGCCGTACGACCGGAACTTTTACTCCACGAGTCTGCCATCAAAAACGATTTAATTACTTTCAAACGACTCATTGAATCGCGAGTCGATATAAATAGCAAAACTCATGTGAGATTTATAACACAATTTGACCATTTTTTGGTTTAATAATAATTAAAATGATTGTATACTTAACAGATGGAAAGGACTCCAATTCATTGGGCTATTTGTCATCAAAACCTAGAAATTGTTTCACTTTTAATACAAGCAAAATGTGATATCGAAGCCACAGATAAGGCAATGAAAATATATATTTCTAATTCACTTCAAACTTATTGTTTTTATATTTATTGTCTTTTTATTAATGTATAAATCGTTTCTTAAATGTAAATTTTTGTTTTCCTATTTTTTTTAAACATTTAGACCATATAATGAAAACTATGAGAAAACTATTTACAATAGAAATTAAATGTTTAATTTATTGAGAGAATAAAATTTAACCATTTCATTAATTATTTACACTGTTTATTCAGTCTATATAAATTACACTAAAATGAGTACAGAATATTCTGTACAGAATTGTGTAATTATAAAACACAATTAGTTTGCTTTTTCTAATGCATGTCAATTATTTTGTCAATAATATTTAATGTTTAATTTACATTAAAACTGTTACAGAATTAATATAATCTTTATGAACCCATTGCTGTCTAAAATACTTTTAATTTTAAATAATTAATTATATTACTTAAGTGTTGACATTTGCAAAACTAAACCATATTAATAACTATGTAATTTTTACACCTATTACATAAAATTAGATTTATTTGCATTTAATTAATTATCGTCTGATTTAAATAACAGTTGGGAATGAGACCTATATTGATGGCCGCAATGGTAGGCAACCTTCAAATGGTGCAGTTGTTAGTAGAGGCCGGTTGTAATTGTAGGGCTATTAATAAAGTATACCATTTATATAAATGTTTAATTTATTGAGAGAATAAAATTTAACCATTTCATTAATTATTTACACTGTTTATTCAGTCTATATAAATTACACTAAAATGAGTACAGAATATTCTGTACAGAATTGTGTAATTATAACACACAATTAGTTTGCTTTTTCTAATGTATGTCAATTATTTTGTCAATAATATTTAATGTTTAATTTACATTAAAACTGTTACAGAATTAATATAATCTTTATGAACACATTGCTGTCTAAAATACTTTTAATTTTAAATAATTAATGATATTACTTGAGTGTTAACATTTGCAAAACTAAACCATATTAATAACTATGTAATTTTTACACTTATTACATAAAATTAGATTTATTTGCATTTAATTAATTATCGTTTGATTTAAATAACAGTTGGGAATGAGACCTATATTGATGGCCGCAATGGTAGGCAACCTTCAAATGGTGCAGTTGTTAGTAGAGGCCGGTTGTAATTGTAGGGCTATTAATAAAGTATACCATTTATTTGTTTTTTTTAATCAAAATCATTATAAGAAGATTAAATATTTTATGTTTTTTAGAAACACTATAATGTTCTCCATTGTGCTGTAAAACACGATCAAACAGACATTGTTTTATATTTACTCGACAACGTCGAGGACCTGGATATTAATGCCACCGACAAAGTAAGCAAAAAGCATACTAATAGAAATTTTATTTGAATTTTATAGTGAATAACTAATTTTGTTGCATTTTTGTTTGTTTTTTGATGGATAGTTGGGTCAAACGAGGTATTGATATATTTATTTAGTATATTATGAAGAGTTATATAATCGAAATATTGTTTGTTTCGTTGAAAGCTTACAAATGGCATCAATTAATAACAATCTGGAAATCGTGCAAAAACTCATTTCATGCGGCGCTGAGCTTAATATTAAAGATAAAGTAAACCATATATTCATATAAATCATGAATAAAATTAATGACTGATAGACTGAATGAAATATTTATTAAATGAATGGATGGATAGCAAGGAAGAAGTGCTGGTCATTGGGCGGCACCGTTTTGTGTGGCACTGCTTATGGAGAGAGTATATATAGAATTGGTATATCCATCACAATTACAGTTATCTAGACGTCGGCCGCCATTCCCTATAAAAACAATCATTTTATAATAAAATAATACAACGATTAAACTGCAATGACTTCAGACCTGATGCCCATATAAATACAGATCCCCGTCCGTGACGTCCCTTTCGTATGCCATCAATAAAAGCTAAAACAATTCACAAATATTTGTATTGCACTGTATTGTAAAATCATATGAAAGTGCCGAACCTCTCTGTGCGAGCCTTCCGGGCCCGTCCACTGTCTTGCCGTCATCTTCTGGACCCCACGACGCCGAGTATATGTCGATGTGATTGGGATTCATACTAAGCGCTCGCGCCTCCACCTCATCAGTCACTGTAACATATGATATATTTGACTGTAAGTATTGGTCGCACAAATCAATAACGATAATGACTAACCGGTTCCGTCTAACATACGTACGCCACCGATGCTGGCATTGAATGCAATCCCAACCCCACAATATTCTGTGTAATTCAAACAATACAATAATTATTATGATTTCAATCTATTATTTATAGCATACAATACCATTGTATGCTTGAGCAGCCACTTCTCCAGCGCATCGCGTGCCATGTCTTATGAGTTTAAAAAATTAGAGGACATTCTTTCAAATCAATAATGTTTTGTCTCACTTGTTGTCACCATTGTCTTGAGGTGTGGGGTCGGGATCGT